GATTAATGTTTTTTTTACGTATATTTGATATTGATTTTAAATGTTCATAAAATTCTTGATCATTTGTAGATAAATCAATCATTATTTCATTTGCTATTGTATATATATTTGACCATTGTAAAAAACAATGATGAATAAATAAATTAAAATGCATAGCAATAATATAAAGTTCTTCATCTAGATTATATGAAAAAATGAATTTTCTTTTTAAAATAAATAAAATACTTTTATTTTCATTATTATTATAAGATAATTGAAATGGTAATAACCAATATATAAAATAAGGTTGATAATCTTTTCTATATGTATATAAAATATTTAAAATTTTAATTGTAAATCGTAAATGTTGTTCTTCAAGATATGGATGTAATGCATGAATTTTACTATATGTCTAAATTAAAAAAAAATATTAAACAATATCTTCTATTCAGATTTTCTCTTTCGGAAGGACGAAATCGATCTTCGAAGCGTCGCCATATTCACACCGGATAACAAATTAGCTCATTGATTTTCGATGATGAAGGAAAATCTTATTCGAATAACTTATAATCGAACATTCTCAAGTGTGTGTACGATCGCTTTTTTGATCGAAACTGTACGCATAGAACAGGCTTAGTTCATTGTGAAATAGAGCCTCTCGAGTTGGTCTCCAGTCGTTGAATACAAACAACCGAAAAAAAAGGATCTCGTATCTTGAGGGTGACTATTCTATTCCGATTAGAAAATTTCATTAAGAGTATCAAAGTACCGTTTGACTAGATTCGAGTACGAAAATTTTAGATCCGACAGGCTTTATTGTGAAAGTTCTACTAACGAGGAAATCACCCGAGGTGTCAAAAAGCTTTTCAGCTGAAATTTTTCCCACAAGTAGGGGATGCATAGACTAGAAAAAGTCTAAAAGGATATGAGTCCAAGTTGGGATTTGACTGAGATATCGACTATTTACCATGATTTTACTATAGGATCCTACTTGTCCGATAAAATCAAAGTTTTGAATTTAGGCCTGAAACTTTGTCCACACCAAGGTCCCAATCAGACAAGCTTGCCTACAGAGTTTTAGAACTCTTGGATAGACTATCTCTGAGATATGAATCTGCCAAAATATCTATGTGAAATATTATATCCATAAAAAAGCGTCTTTATGCTAACATACTAGTATCTCGGAGGTAGTCTATCCTAGAGTTCTGAAACTTTGTAGGCAAGCTTGTCTGATTGGGGCCTTGGTGTGAACAAAGTTTCAGGCCTAAATTCAAAACTTTGATTTTATCGGACAAGTATGATCCTATAGGAAAATTATGGTAAATAGTCGATATCTCAGTCAAATCCCAACTTGGGCTCATATCCTTTTAGGCTTTTTCTAGTCTATGCATTTCCTACTTGTGAACAAAATTTCAGCTCAAAAGCTTTTTGACACCTCGGGTGATTCCCTCGTAAGTTTTGTGATTCGCATCCGAAAATATCAGTATATGAAGAATGATTACCTTTCTTTTTTGTTTATTAGGAAGTTTTTATCATTCATATGTCAAAGAAGATCATACAAAAATCAATGAAACTTTTGCAATGGATTAATATCATCGAGAGCTTTATTTACGCAAAGTTTCAAATCGAACTTTGATTTTTATGGTGATATAAAGTAGATAACAGGTTTCAGTTTCTTAGTAATTTCATTATTCGAGTAAGAATAATTAAATTTATTAATTAGAAGAGATATGATATTACTTTTTCTTGTTCTTAGATACTCTTTTAACATACATCATTGATGTATAAAATAAAATATACTTACTTCGATAACAGCATTTTCAATTACATTTGTTACTGGTGTATTTGATGGATTTTTTAATTTAAGTTCATGTTTTCCTCGTGTAACACCAGCAGCAAAATCACGTCTTGCTTGAAATTCAACAAAATTCTGAAAAACAAAAACAAAGAAACACTTTTTTTTCTCCAAAATAAAAGATTCAACATACAAAATCATTTTCAAGTGGTTCCTTTTCAAATCGAAGTAAACATTCTGTCCAAATAAATTGTCGAATTGTTAATGGTAATTGTTGACCAAATAATTTTTCTTTTATAAATATAATACGACGTAAATCACATTTAAGTAATGCAACAATAGATTTTGATATTATATTACTATATTGAGATGTCATAGGATGAGAAGTTGATGATAATTCTAATCAAACAAATATTCAAAAACTAATTTAATCGTTTAATTAAATAACTTATTAGTAGATTAAAATTTTGTTATTCAAATCACTTGACAATATCGTACGAATGAAATACAAATACGATTTATGAGTAAAATATAAGCTCAAAAGTAAAAATTTTAATTCATAGCAATGATTGATATGGAGAAGTAGATAGTCTAACTGAAAACTAAATATTTTCTTTTGAGAAATACGAACCATTAATGATTGGTAATTTTTTTGAATTAATTTGTGAATCTCGAAGAATTGCACGAAATTTTGATTGACTAATTAATTCATATTGATTTTTTGTTTTATTTATTTCTTGTAATTTTTTTTCTTCTTCTTCTTCTTGTTTCATTATTTCTTCTTTATGTTGTATTTGATATAAATAACGTTCAAATGATTTACATACTATTTCATATGTATATTCAAGAAAATTTTTCATATCATTTGATAATCGATTAGTACTAAAAGATTAAATATATAGTCTCGAACGAAAATAGTTGCCATCTATGAAGTTCTACTATTCAGCTAATATTGTGAGTGCATGCATATGACAATAAGCTCCTATTTTCAAGCATCCATTCGGTTCTAAAAAGTTTAAAGCTGCAATATTGAATGAAATCAAGTTACCACTACGACATGGATTTACAATCTCAGAACGTGCTTATTAGTAAGATCTTGCATATGTATCACAGACTTTGGTGATAATATTTTTACCAGAAGAAAAAAGATGTGTGAATCATAACTCCAGCACATGTAAACTGATGCTTGGGAACAGAAAATTATTGTCTCACAAATAACACACTCAAAGTATCAGCTCAGAACTTCATCGAGGGTAGCAACTGTTTTATATTTCTTTTTTTCTCTAATATTTACTCTTGATCTTCTGTTACAGCTAAATAAAATTAAAAAACAAAACATTATTATGTATATGTAGAAATACAAAATGTAAATTGACATGTACTTGCTCCTATGTCAACTGCTGCTTTAAAAACTTGTATTTGTAACCATGATTTAGCTTCATTTTCAAGTTTACGTCGATGATCTTCAAACATATAAGGTGAAATCTATCAAAAAAAAAATAGATTAATCTCTATTAACAAAATTTATATTCGAAAAAAGAAAAACTAACTAATATATGAGGAATATCAGGTTCCAATCGAAAAAATTTCCATTGAAATTGTGTACCAAGTAATTCAATAAGTATTTGACGACGATGACGATTATGAAATTGTTCACGTGTTCTAATTGCTAAAATTGGTTCAAGATCATTGAGAATCTAATAAGATATATATTTAAAAAAAAAAAAAAAGAAGAAAATTTTTCTTTGTATTTTGTAAAAAAAAATAACCTTTTGCCATGGACTATCAGGTAAGCATGTTTGTTGATAACTTGAATCAAGCCATTGAATATTAAATGGTAAATATTTTAAATTATTTAGTCTTTTATTATTCTCAGTATTAGTAGGATTAATATTAAACATTATTTTAAATTATATTTTATTTGAATTTGATGAAAAACAATATTTATATATCATATCAATATATTCATTTTCATGAATAACACTATTACTATGTGTTCGACATCGTGATAAACAAATATCAAATGATGTAGATAAATGTGAAAGAAGTAAACTTGTTTTTAAATCTCGTGAACGAATATAATTTTGAAGATAAATACGCTAGAAAGAAAGAAAAAAAAACAACTAATTAATTCATTAGAATATGAAATTTTTTACATGATCAGGTTTAAGACAACAAGATATACAATGTTCAAATGAACTACAACAATGAGTAGTAGATGAACAACTATCACATATATATGGACCACGAATAGATGAAGATTTCAATTGACAACAACCATTTGTCTTTTCTAAATGACGACGTTCACAAAGATAACCTAAATATGAAAAAAAAAGAAAAAGAAAAGCGCTATGTTCATAAGGATATTAAGAGTTATTTAAAATGCAAGAAAAAAAAAAGCGTTTTCTCTCTCTTTTTTTTATAGAAAACTTTGAATAGGCTAAGTGTGAGGCTTCTATTGGTAAATTTTCTCAACCAACAATATTATTTTCAAGTCAATATTAAAACTAATTCGATACCTTTACTATCAACAACAAATGATTGTTTTCCTTGAGTAAAATGTTGACATTTAGTTAATAATTTATTATCAAATAGAATAGCTTCTTCTAAATTGTCTAAATTTGTTTTTGGTGTTGCATGAATAAAACGATTAATAATTAATTTCTAAATAAATATATTCTCGTTCAATAAATAAAACAATTTGTATATATATATATCTCATACATATCTTTTCCACCAATGCCAAGAATAAATTCCAATAAGTATACATATCAAACAAATAATTAATAGAACACTTTGTTTAAAATGAATTCTCATGGAAAATTTTTTATTTCTCTAAAGTTAAATAATATATATTTATTTATTTATTTATCATTTGTTTGAGATATATTACATTGTTTACATTATTATTTTTTTTTTGATTTTATTTATATAATGATGATGATCATAAAAGAATAAATAGATATAATAGAACACAGCGAGAAGACAAAATGAAAAGATTGGTTTTTTTTCCTTTTTTTTATTTCTATACACATAAACATATGCGCCAAAAAAAAAACGAGTGAAACAGAGAAAGAGACATTTATGGAATTACCAAAAAAAAAGAGAGAAAGAAAAAGTAAGGATATGGAATGGTAGAACGCTCACAAGAGAAGAAATAGGTTAAAGGATTTTGAAAAGTCACCGGAAACAACAATGAATATTATTTGATTTTTTCTTCTATAAATTAAAGTAATTCGTCAACAATAGCATCATTAAAAGATAAATTTGCATATGCATGTTGTTGGGAATCATGTCCGGTATTATTTGAAGATTTTTTTTTACGATAACGTTTTCGTATTGATGATGATGATGATGTTAATTCTTCACTTGATGAATGTCCATCATTATTATTATGTTCTGTATGAAAATAATATTGATTATTTGCTGTTTTAAATGTACTAAAATTTGCAACTAAACCAGCTGAACCAACAGGACGACGTGATGGTGATAATTGTGATTGTTCTTTTGTTGTTGTTGTTGTTGTTGAATCAACAATTGTTTGTGTTGGAATAGTCAAATCAATTAATTGTGAATTTGGTGATGATGTAGATTGAGATGATGATGGAGATATTGTATTTGTTTTAGTTGTTGTTGTTGTTGTCATTGGATTTTGTTGTTTAGTTGTTAATTTTGCTTTAAATGGTGCATTTGTAAAAACATCTTTTGATATTGATGATTGATTATTTTGATTTATTGTTATTGCTGGACTATTTGTTGTAGTATTATTATTATTACCTGGAGGATAAGATTCTGAATGTGAAATTTTTTGTTTTGATATATTGAAATTATATGTTGAATCAGTTACTAAAATAGAATATGTTTTATAACAATATAAATTTTATGATTGATTAGTAATCTTTACTTCGTATTTTCTTACATCATGGGATATTTATTTTTCTCTCTCTCTGTATTTATGAAAAAAATTAATATAAAAAAGCTTCTGTCTTTACTTATGTTACTATCAAATATTTATTATTTTACAGGTTGAGTCACGTAAAAACCTTGACATATTTATGTTAATGAATGATGAAATATTTCTTTTCCGTTTTTTTTTTGTATTGATTGTAATTTATTATGTTCATTAACGTAAATGAAAAAAAAAAAAACTTTTATAATGATTTGTATTACTAATCCTCTTTTGTTTCTATTGAAAATGTATTTCCGTCATATCAATTTATAATATAATAGAAAACACGAATGATATGAATCATAATAATATTCAACAGCAACAAAAAAAGAAACTTACATGTGCAATACTTGAATTGTTTTATCGTCTTTAAACTTATTATATAACTATATAAGTGCATCTAATTAAATTCTAAAAGAATTTATGTTAATCAGTTAGTTATTCGAAGTTACACATATATTTTAAAATTTTTTGCCTTATAAGGCAATGACTGCTTCAAATGATAAATTGTTTTGAAACTAACGAGGGAAGGATCCCAACTGTCCAATCGCTTTTGAGCCGAGACTATGTGCATTATGTAGAGCCAAATGAGTTATGAATACCCTGAAAAAAGTTCGGACCGCTAGCCTATTGCTACGGAGATAGTGTACTTTTACAGTATTCTTTAAAAATGAATGCCGTGGTTCCCCTCAGGGACACCAGAAAAACTGATTTTTGAATTTCGACTTGAAACTTTGGATAGAGACAGACCTTAATCAGAATAGTTTATTCTGAATGTTTCTAAGATTTTTTCATCTGCTTCTATCTTAAAATAAGAACATAAGATCTATCAGTTTATATAGACAAGTTATTCATAATTGTATCCTAGGATAGAAAGCGCGAAAAAATCTGAAATATTCACAGCAAACTATTGTCATTAAGGTCTGTCTCTATCCAAAGTTTCAAGTCGAAATTCGAAAATCAGTTTTTCTGTATTCCTGAGGGGGACCACGGCATTTATTTAAAAATACTGTAAAAGTACACTATCTCCGAAGCAATAAGCTAGCGGCCCGAACTGTTTTCAAGGTATTCATAACTCATTTGGGTCTACATAATGCACATAGTCTCGGCTCAAAAGCGATTGGACAGTTGGTGCCCTTCCCTCGTTAGACTCTTGTTCAATCGATAGAGGATAGTGAGTATGTAAATACTCTAGAATGATTCTAGCTACCGGGCCTTTTGTTGGTGAAACTTCGAATGTTTAGTGAATTTTTTCATTTTTCAAGCCAAATTATACGTTTGAAAATTTTCTTTATTAGACTATAGTATCTGTAGAAGAATCAAATGAATGTATTTCGATCTGAAATTCTGTTCATAAAGACCCTCCTTCTCGCTTTAAAATCGTCGACTAGTCTAAGATTTGTAAGTTTCCGAGATAATAGAAACTCATTGTAATCTAATATTTTTTGTATTGTATATGTCTAGTAACGCACAAAGAGATTTTTTTCGTGACCTGAAAAATACACGGGCACATTCATCATTTGTCGATAGCTGTCAGAAAACTGTGGAATCGGAGTATGCTCAATTACTGAAGTCTTGCTTTTGTACTCTTGGTTTATGCACCGTTAAAAAAAAAAGAGAACTATACTAATTTTTATTAACTTGAGAGAAATACGGGGGAAATCCTTGAATGAAAAATGTTACAATATCAATTTTTACAATTTAAACTAACTTTTTCTTTCTGAGAAATAGCATACTCTTTTATGCAATTATAATCTATATATAGAAATACACGTGATGAAATTATCGATGACGATTAATATGATAGGAAAAGTACAACAAGCGTAACGACATCAAAAGGAAAAATCCAAATGATAATGTATTATGAAAGAAGAATACAGTTGGATAGAAAACATTACGAAGTAGATTTTGGTCATTCCGTGACAATTTCTATTAATCTTTTAATTTGTTCAACAAAATTATATTCCAACATGTAAAGCATAATTACAACATATAAAAGGTTAGTTGCAATAGAAATTCATCTTTAATCCTTTCCGGTCGGATGTATCCATATGGATACATTTTTACAAAGAACTGAGTTACAGTGATGATATCAAATTTATTGACAATTTGATAATTATGTTCGACACACATTCATGCGTTTAGAAGAAGGAAAAAAACATTCACTAAGAAAATGACCGATTCCACCCACAATGCCCCAAAGTAACATTCGTATAGAAATTAATGCTTTTTTCGTGTCTCTAAATAATCTAGCTTCGAGGCAATTAGTTGTTAATTTTCCTTCATAGACCTATTGTCTATTGCATTACTAAGACGGATTACTCAAAAAATCCGAACAATAAAAATTTATGAAAAAAGTTTTTTGCTACCTGTCTTCTGGTATCCGTACTGACACTTTTCTTCTGTGAAATATTGAATTTTTATAATAATTATATTTTTCTATAGATATTAAGTCGTTAGATCTGAAATTTAGTGACTTATAAAAAGTGATTTGACTTTTTGCGTCGCACACAAAACCTTATTCTATACGTAAAATATTCGCAAATCCTATCCTGATTAGTTTCTTTTTTATTTTTTGATTCTTATTTGTAAAATTCAATAAAATTTAAAGATAATAAATGTGATTTTTTTTAAAATAACTACATTCAATTATATCTAAAATGAAATTTACCATTTATAATAGAATTTGGTTCTTGTCTATGATATGGAGCAAATGCACTAAGTCTTTTTCCAACTACAATACTTGTTGGATCAAAGGAATTCATATTTGATATAGTTGTTGGTTCAATATGAGTTGATAAAGATGATGATTGTGTTACAGGTTTATGTGTTGGTGAACGATGAGAATAATGAAATGGTGCATGAAGAAATGGATTAGTATTATCAATAAAAGAAGAATTTGTTTGATTATTATGCTCATTAATAGTACGTTTTGTATCATTAGTTGGATGTGTTTTTGAATTTGTTGTAAAAAGATTAAATAATTTTGTATGTGAATCTAAATTAATTAGAAAAACAAAAATACAAAGAAAAGTTAATGACATCGAATATCAAAAAAAAAACTTTAAAAAGCCAAGGGTGTAAGAATCAAGAGAATTAGTGGCAAATAGATTTACTTTTGAATTTTTTATGTAATTTTTTTTCTTTCTTTCTTAAAACCAAGTTTTATTTTCTATAAAATCTGTTGATAAAATATTTTAAAAATGAAAACAATTTTTTTTTGTTATTATCACTTACGAGATGAAGGTTTTGTTATAGAAGAATTTGTTTCATTATTATTATCATCATCAGAATCTTGAAAATGTTCATATTGTTGTTCTTTATAACGTGTTGTTATAAAACGACTACTTTTATTTGTATTAATTGTTTGAATAGGTGCAGTAGTATCATCATCGGAATCTTCATTAATAAGTTGATCAAATCCAACATTATTACTATTATGATTATTGTTATCATCATCATCATCATCATCATAATCTTTATTATCATCATCAGAATCATTTTCATTATCTGATTGATCATTCATAGGAATAGGATGTTCATTAGAAAGTGTCATAGAATCTTTACGTTTATTAGGTGTTGAAGATGCATTAGGTTCATCTTGTTGTTGTTGTTGAAGTGAACAACGTCCAATTAAACGTTTAACAAGATTTTTATTTGTTATACTAGGAGATGATATATGTTTTTCAACTTCTTCAGTTGATGGATGATGACTTGAACGTAATGGTGTTATTGATATTTGAGATTTTTTTTTGTTTTTCTGAAATAGAACAAAAAAAAACATAGTTTTTTTTTTTTGCTTTATAGAATAATAAATTTTTTTTTTTACTTCGTTTGATTTTTCATTATCATGTGATAATGATGATGAAGATGATGATTGTTCATCATCAGATTTTAATTGTGAATTAATTGTATATGTTTTAGCAAATAAACGATCATCTTCATTTAAAATAAGACTTTCACGTGATTTAACATTTTCTGTTGAATGATTATGAACTTTTAATTTATTTAAATTTGTTGCTAATGCATCATCATCATCATCATCATCATCATCGGATGCTTCACCAATAAAAAGTACTGGTTGAGTTTGTTGTTGTTGTTGTTGTTGTTGTTTGACTGATGAATCAATTGAATGTCGACGATCAAATGATAAATTAGATTCAATAGAAGATGTATGTAGAAATGAAAATGGATTATTCGTTGGACTTATTGTTTGAGATGCACTACGTCGATGTTGATGATGTATTATTGATGAACTTGTTAATTGTGTATTACTTGTTGATGATAATGATGTAGGTGGAGGAGGAGGAGGAAATAATTGTTGTTGAAAAACAAGACCAGATGATGAAGATAATGATATTGGTGGTGATGGACGTGCACGAGAAACATTTCTTTCTAGTGTTGATGTTGTTTTAGGTGTTGTCGTCGTTGTTGTTGTTGTTGTTGTTGTTGTTGTTGTCATATTTGGAATATTAGTTAAACTAAGTGTATGATTTGGAAATTGTGAAAAATCATCATCAAACATTAATTGAGCGGCTGAACCTGATCGTTGATGAGAAGGTCGTGTTGGAATAGATACAGGTGGAGGAATTGAAATTGGTGGAGGTGGTGGAACAACAACAGTTGTTGACCGTTGTGGTGTTGTTTGATTAAAATTAATTAATGAACCTGATGGTGCTATAATACCACGTGGACGTTCACGTGGATTAACTGCTGTTCCAAGAGTAGATATTTCATCGGAAATATTTAGTGTTGTAGACTTCGCACTTGCAGAAGCTATTGTTCGTTGATGACGAGATTCACTTTCTGTTAAGGGCATTGATATTGTATTTAAATCGGGAATTTTTGATTGATATCGATTTGGAATTGGACATTCGATACCAAGTAATTTATATGTTATATAAGAGACCTGAAAAATACAAAAAAAAAAAAAATTATTATTATTATTTAGTCTAGAGATTAAGATTGAAATTATGAGAGAAAAAAATTGAATTAAAGATAAGAGTTAAATTAATATCAATCTATATACAGGATGGCGCAAAAGTCACTTTACCGGAAAAAAAATTGAAAATCTCTATTGCGCTTCTAGCAAACGAGCTTATTTTTTTTTATCAATGATAGAGTCATGTCTAAGCTTTATATTCATAAAGATATCCCTAGAGAGACTCTTCGTTAAGTATCACTATTGAGCTCAACAAAAACTTTTAATTTTTCACAGATAGACAGTATGTTTAACAAAGGGTCTCTCTAGGCATGTCTTTATGAGTATAGAACTTGAACATGCCTCTATGATTGATAAAACAATCAGCTCTTTTGCTCGAGTTATAATGAAAATATTCAATTTTTTTTGGTACAGTGGCTTTTACATCACATTGTATATTGTTTTTTTTTCTATCCGTGAAAAAGTAAAATTTTTTGTTGAGCTCAATAGTGATACTTAACAAAGAGTTACTCTAGGCATATCTTTACGGATATAAAGTTTAGACATGACTCAATCATTAAAAAAAAAATAAGCTCGTTTGCTAGAAGAGTAATGGAGATTTTCAATTTTTTTTCGGTAAAGTGACTTTTGCGCCACCCTGTATATAATGTTCAGTGTGTTTCTCTGTGCCAGGTCAAAGATCAAATCAGACTATAAGGGGAAGGTCCTCAAGAGCTATTATATGAGGGTATCCATAGGTCCTCAAAAGCTATTAAATGGGGTATCCAAAGGTCCTCAAGAACTATTATATAGGGGTACCTATAAGTCCTCACGAGCTATTATATGATATATCTATAGGACATGAAGAGCTATAATATAGGGGTAACCATAGGTTCTCAAGAGATTAAGGCAATAAGGGGATAAGGCTACAATAGCTACAAAGCTATAAGGCCGATGGCAACATGGGCTATAAAAATATGTGCGATATAAAAGTATGAGGCCGTAAGGCTATCGATCTATATACATAATATCGAGTGTCTGTATGTCTGTTTCTGAATGAAAAGTTAAACGTCTTAGATCATACATTAAAGAAGAAAACAGCCGTGCAGTATGCACGGGCTCTTACTAGTCAGAATATAATTAAAGAGAGATAATTCAAAAAGAAAAATAATTCGATATGATACAAATAAATATTGATTTCATACAACAATAAGAAATATATTTTTTACCTGCCAAATATCTGGTCGTTTATTAATATCAATTTCTAACATAAATCGAACAAGTTTATTTAAATCTCGACTATAAACTTGTGACATATCATCTGGTATAATAAATATTCCATTTTGTATTGCTAAAATACTATCACCAAATGGCATTATATTATACATAAGTTTATATAATAGACAACCCATTGCCCATATATCAACTTTTAATGTTATTGGTAAACGACTATAAAGATCGATCATTTCTGGTGCACGATATGATAATGTTGTATAACGTTGAATTTCTTCTTCAAGTTGTTGTATAATTGTTGTTGTTAATTGATTTGTTTGATATTGTTGATAATAATTATTTGTTGTTGAAGATGATAACATTATAGCAGAACCAAAATCACATAAAACAAATGATTGATTTGAATCAATAAGAATATTTTCTAATTTAATATCACGATGTAATATTGGTTGTGGACGACGATAATGACATGCACTTACAGCATTACATATATCAGCAAATATACGTAAAATTTGACGTTCCGTTAATGTTATACCATTATTACGTTGTTCATTAAGACGAGTCTAAAAGAAATACATAAGAATTTAAGAAAACAATTCAAAAGAATTAAACGACAGCTTTATTATCACTATTAAAACAATGTTGGATATCAAATAAGTAATCTCAATCTCTATTCGACTTAAGAGAATCCATTATTTGATCATAATAGATCACAATTTTTTTTTTCTTTTGTTCAATACATCGTATTCTTGAAAACTATCTGATCATTTGATTTAAATATTTATTTTTTTCCCCCCTAGGAACTATATCTATTATGTATAAGAAGATTTTAATCATTGAAAGTTGAATCAAAATAGATTGAACAAAGATAAGTCAACATGAAAACAATTTTATATATATATATGAAAATTATTATTTCATCGGAATAATTGAAATGGAAATAATAGACTGAAAATTTGTTCTTTTTATAAACAATATTATCTCATTTTTGTTTTTATATCAAAATTTTTGATAATTTCCGTTATTTTCTTCTTGAATAATATGCTTTTTTTTTTTTCTTTAGAAAAACTACTTATTTTGTTCCGATTGCACATCCTAGAATTCTCAAAGGAATCTCATTATATATAATTGCTTAGTTATATTATTTGAAAGAGTATATCAAACTACAGTACAATCTGACCTACTCTCTTTTAATTATATAAAATTAAATCTGTAAGATCAGAGTCCTTAAAGAATAAATGAAACTATTTTGTGACCTTTGTTGTTTAAATATCTTCTGAAAAGGTCATAATATAAACAAGAATTGTATGGAAATAAGGAAAACAAGAAGGATAATGTCGTAGAAGAAATTATAATTTTCTAAAAATTTTTTCTATACAAAACAAATTATATAATTTAGAATATTAGTCTGTCTAATATGCTAATTATGTAGTCTGATCAATTAAATGTCTATAAAATCATTTGATTGGTCCAATACATTAACTTATTTTCTTTAATTATATTATCAAATGCGCAAAAGTAATATCAATCCTATGGTATTCTAATGATAGAAAAACGAAAGGAATGAATCGATAAAAATTAATGTCAAAAAAAGTAAATGTGTTTTTGACATGTACATTGCTTTGGGCTATTAAATTTATAATAAATACTATTTGAACTTCTCATCTAAAATACATATATATTAATTTGACTCTTAATTGATCAATAATGGCTTCATAGTCACTCATATACTTTAATATGAATAATTTGCCGCATTATTCGAAATGAAAAAATTTAATATTAATGATAAATAAGAAATGATCTACCTAACTCCAATAACAAACGTTAATATAAAATTACACTTCTATGAATTAGAAAAAAAAAAACAACGATTGAATAACCTTGAAAATAGATTAAATGCAATATCGAATATAATCATATAGGTATAGTCCTACGGTAACATATCAAAACAATATTAGTATAGATCGAAAAAATTTTCATTCGAGTCTAAAATTATTTTTTTGTTGAGAACGAACAGAAGTTTCAATTTTTCGTTTTCATTTAATATATAACTTACAACTAATGTTCCATTTGAACAATATTCTGTTAATAAAAGTATTTCATAAATAGCATCTTGTTCATAATCATAATCATCATCATCATTATCATCATCATCATTATTATTATCATTAGATGATAAATATTTTCGTTGTATATTTGTTTGTGTTGATGATGATAAACGTTGTATAGATGAATCAACATATTTAACAATATTTGTATATGATGATAATTCTTTTAATATAGATATTTCACGTTGACATACAATTAAATCACGTTCATTATTAACATACATTCGTTTAAGTGCATAACGTTGTTGATTTAATGAACGTACAAGAAAAACAAATGCAAAACCACCTTGTCCAAGTATATCTTCAACAATAACTTGATATTGATTTATAATTAATATTTTTCCTATATAAGACATCATATCAGTATTTGTATTAATTATTGATAATTGATTTAAATTATTATTATTATTATTATTAGGATTTATATTTGGATGATTTAATGATGATTGATTATAATTTAAACGTGTCGGCATTATTAAAAAATGTTCGAATATTGTGTTTTATTATTAATATATTTTGTTGATGAAAAAAAAAAACAAAAAGAAAAAGAAAAAAAATGACGTTAATTTGTAATCAACGAGCGGGCAGTGCTTAAGATGAGCACGCTCGCACGTTTTTTACATCTAGAACAAAAAATGATTATTTTGTATATATATATATTATTATTAATGAAGAGCAAAAAAAAAAAAAAAAACGTTTAATAACAAAAGAAAAAAACGACTTGTTAAATATACTAAATGAAAAAAAACGAAAAAGAAAAATTTTCATTCATTAGATGCTGTTCTTCCTTATATAAAATTTGTATAATCAAGATAATTTATCACTTATATCCATTTGTTCATTAACTAATTTTAAATCATTATTTATTTGTTCTGATATAATAGATTCTTCAACTAATTTACGAACTTTTGTTTCATATAAACGACGATTTTCTACAAATAATTTAGCTGCTTCATTATTAGCTGGTGAATTTGGATTTGGATCATTTAATAATGAACGTATGGATGTTAATATAGCACATACATCATATGTTGGACTCCAATTTCTTTGTAATATATCCAAACATATACTACCATCAGCATAAACTATGATATTTTATATATACATATACTTAGGGCAAACCAAAAGTTCGTAGAACCTTATTCAGAAATGAAAAACCAAATATACCATGTTGTAGAGCTTTTTGAGATTCGATGTATCTCAAAAAGCTCTACAACATGATATATTTAGTTTTTTTTATTTCTGAATAAGGTTCTACGAACCTTTTGGTTTGTCCTAAGTAATTAATATATGAGATTACAATATTATTTTATTTAACATACCATTTGGATGAAACATTTTACATGTAAATCGTACATTAGGTGGTGTTAATGGATATGTATCTATATGAATGAAAGAAAACTTTTTTGTATTTCATTTCTTTATAAAATACCTGCAAATTCCATTCTTAATGTAAATAATCCATCTTCATAACATGTATCAGCTGGTCCATCAATTAGAGCATTCCATATATGCATATTATTATCAATAGGTGTGGCATTAATACCTTAATAATAAAAAAAATATATAAATATGGTTTTTTTTTTTTTTTTGATATTAAGATAAATGAACCTGGTAATTCTTCGGAACGAATTTTTTGTAAATCTTTAAATAAACGTCTTTGACTTGTACTTGAATTCGACATGATTATTTTAATGGAATATTAATACATCAATTTTGGTTTTTTGTTTATCGTAAATTACAAAATCCTAGAAAAATCTAAATTTGTATAGATAAAAGAAAAGAAATATAGTTCTAGTTTGTTAGAGAAAGAGAGAGATAGAGAAAAGAAATATATATATATATATGGCCATATCTCTATAACCAGCTGACAAATGTCATTACAACAATGAACGATAATAATGTCACATAACCAACATAAGTTATGAAAAACATAACAAAAAGAAAAAACACATTTTTTTTTTTTTTTTGTATTTGAAAAGGAAATCTTTTATCTATTATATATTACTCAAGAATGTTGTTTATAAATGAAATGATAGAGTTCGCCACGTATTTTAATAAATGATGAATGGAGAATATAAATCAAGCAATGAAAAAAATCTATATATATAAATATACAAGTAAACAAGCAAGAATATGATGTAGTTAGTGAGTGTGTATAGAGCGCTCTCTATCCTGATTCTTTTAAATTCTATTGGTTTATTGAATTACCATATTGTTTACAAGCGACCACACATAAAAACAAGACATATGAATAAAAAAAAAAAAAGAACCGTTTTTTTATTTTTTATTTTTAAATTTTTAGATTTATTTAATTCTCAATAAGACATGTTAGCACGCGTGATCAATTCAAATGCAACAAATGTTGCAAAACGTGTTCTTATAACAAATAATATTCGTATGATTGATTCTCATCGATATGCAAGTCATGGTGGTAGTGAAGTACAACATGGTAGTCATCATGGTGAAGTTGATCATCATGGTCATCATGATACATATCAAATGATGTATGAACGTTTATGGCGAAATAAATCAACACTTGATTGGTTACCTAAACCTGAAGGTAATTGGCAAGAAATAAATGGACAAAAACAAGCATATTATAATAAAGTACTTATTACGGGTATTCTTGCTTTAACATTAGCCGTGGCATACTTTCGATTAGTTGTTGTAGCTGATTCTAATGCATTAACAAAACCTCCATATCATCTTATTGGACATGAAGATTTTCCTGGTTCAAAATATGAAGATGCTGTTGGTGCACAAAAACAATAAAACTTTTTATATTATCCTTAAAACGATAATGAATATATATTCTTATATCGTTTAACTTCTTTGATCATACCCTATCCTGTCCACTCTCCTCTGATTACTTTCTTTTTTTTTTTGTTCTATTTCTTTCTATATAAAGTAACAAAATACATGAAGTAGTGATATAAAATTTTTTATTTCCTCAATGAAATTATATTAAAGAACATTTGTTTTTTGTTGTTTTGCAATAAGTTTCATTGACTAATATTTGACTTGAGAAGTTTAGAAACATTAATTTTAATTATTTCCTCAAAGTTATAAATACATTGCTAATAACTTGAATATAAATTTTTCTCTATGCAAAAAAACAAAATCTGCAGTATGTACAGCATTCACATCAGTGCTTTTTTTTCCATTGCTGAAGGATTCGAAAAAAAACATAATATGAATTCTACCAAAATGGAAATTTTACAATATTTTCACGTTGATATGAGATATTTTTATTTTTATTTGATCAGTAATCGATATTTATATCATACTTGGAATCGGACCGGCAGACCGGTACCGGACCGGCCGGTCTTCACCGGTTTTTTTAAAAATTTTTGGCAACTAAAACTTGCTTATTTTGCTCATTTTTAAGGATTTTCATGAGGTCAATAGTCAAGAGATTTAATCCGGAAAATTTCTCACTGGCAAAATTTCAATCGTATTGGAAATACTAGCTCTAAATATTCACTAACACTTTCTTATCCTTTCATTAGAGGCTCATATTATAGCGAATAAATTCATTATACTCACAACAAGTTAACTCGATTTTACAAGCTGCTGTCGATTTAAATTCAACATTTTTCTTGAAATTTTGGATCACTCGTATGCAGTAATCTTAGCTGATTTTCATAGAAGCCCAATAGTCGCCAGTATTCAAGTTCATGCTTTCATAGCAAAATGTTTTGAATAAAATCTTTTCTATTATCACGGTCTTTCTAACTAGTAGCATCATGCAATCGCGTTAATATTTAGGTATCAATAAATCTCAAATAGGAAGTCTAATGTATAAATCTTACCGATTAGCTCACATTATCTTTCTCTCTACAGTAGCATTCTTCTGTGGAGTGAAATATATTTCAACTGTGCTAAGAAATGTAGTACTTCAAATAAGAATAGACTAAACCTATCAATGGTAAAGAAATCATATCATTATTTGAAAAGACTCAAAGAATAGTTAGCTGGTGTTCAATCCTAGTCAAAACTTTTTGAAAGATATCTTCATTGGTTCTGAATATTAGCATACTAAACATGACAGACTAAAAAAAGAAGTCGCTGCTATTAGAAGCTTCAACAATTGTATGAGTTTGATATTATATGTCTTAGTAGAGCTAAATTAACAAACTGTTTCGCGAAAACATCGGTTGTTTAGCTAATACATGAGTGCACTGCTTTTTTCGTCAGGTAAATCAAGAATTTGGACTAGCAGTTTTTTCGCCGGTCAAGTCATAAACTTGAGCCGACCGGTTTTTCATCGGTCCAGGCAAGAGTTTGGACCGGCCGGTTCGGTCCGGTCTAAAAAGATCAGACCGGTTTCAAGTCTGATTTATATTCTAAATTGTTTTAATGTTGAATTGTTTTCATATAGAAAACAAAGTATAATAGAATTCAAAAGAATAACGAAAAATATTCGATATGACAAAACGATAAATATAATAATCTTTCGATTGTTCAAAGTATTTAGAGAAATTAGTAAACGGATTACTCTTGTAGTGAATACAAGATATATTAAAAATTTTATTTTATCTATTCATTGACGAAAAAAACAAAAACAAATTTATCATTAGAATGTACTGATTGGCAAGAAGTAAACGATCCAAAACATATAAATCAAAATAATCATAACTGTACCTCAGATCTGTTTAACTATTTCAAATGTTCTGTTGACCTATGTTACGATATATTAGCCGAAGTCCAGCTTCATCCTAAAGTTCAAATACTTCATTGTACTTTCAAAGTCGAAGTATGATGAAGTATTTGAGCTTTATTGTCAGATAGACTTATGCAAATTGCACTCAGGCTAATGTACAGATCGATAGGAGACTTGAAATAACTAAACAGATCTTATGCACAATTATGATATAGTTTGGAAGTACGACATTTTTGCTTGCCTTTACGTTATCGAATTGTGTTTGAATCTGGTGAAGTATTATCACATGAGAATTATATTGAAGTTTTCCTTTTGACATGTACAAGATAAAAGTTAATATTTATTTAGTGATGATTTCATCTACTAATGAGAACTATACAGTGTCGTTCTCAATAGTTCGAATTATGATTTTTGAGGTACTATTGGTAATGTTATGTTTTTATTTTTTTTGAAGAAAGCATATTTGGTGATAA